TTGAATTTTTTCGGTGTCATTCAGATACACCCTGTATAGTCACCGTAAAGGAAAGGTACTACTTACATTCTTAACGTAACTTCAACATTGGTAAAGCATTCTTTCACATTATTTTCCAACATAAGTTGATACATCCACCTTTCATTACTAATGTTCTTTTGAATTTTCTCATATATTCATATGAAACTGGTTGGAAAAATTCAAAAGCATGGTTTATTGTATCGAGTATGCACGTAGAACGTAATATCTACGATAATAGAACATGACCAGTGAAATTATTTTGTTTTTTTGTTGTTGTGAGGGCCCTTTTGAGGTGCGGGCCCCTAGGAGCGCACCTATGTCGCCTATGCTTGAATCCGGCCCTGGCCACCGAGTTTTGAGATATTTCGAACGAAATTGCTGAAATTTATGATTCATGCATCATAAACTATCTCTTTAGAATCCCACAATTCCCACAAACTTTTCGCTGATGAAGTCCTATTCTCGGCATGCAAGGTTGCCATATCTCGAGCATTAAGACGGAGTCTCAAGCTTTGGAAGAGAGGTGTAAGCAGTATACATGTCCATTTTTTTAAATTTTCGATGAGGTCTATGTTCTTTTATTCCATGAGAAAGTGTATTGCAAATGTCAACTATACTGTTCAAGAAAGTAGCTGATTTTTTCCAGATTTGAACAGAGGATAAATCATTGTGACTAGCTATCCGATGAAATCATATCGGAAATCATCAATTCATCGGTTTCATTATCATCGAGATCATAGATTGTATGAAAACAGATTAAGGCAGATAGGAAGATAAGGGCTCAGCAGAGAGTACACATACTACATACTTGCAAGTAACAAGCATGAAATCAAGAATTTGACAGATATATGGGTGGATCATGGTCATGGTCTATCGACCGAAAATATTTTCGACAATGCAGTGTTGCCGCTTCTATCGAAAGGTAGCAACAACTTTGTTATTTCAAATGATGGAATACCCTGTCCTGTATCTTGTTGCACTTTCAGATTCTCCCTGAAGAGCTGATTCCATTGATATATCACACTCGGGGTGTAGCGGGAATGATTACAGAGATATACGCGGTGTTCAAAATCGAGATTTTTCATCTTCAGGATTTTTTGTTTCGAAACTATCCATCATCAGTCAAAACTGCTTTCATGTCCATATCTCAAGTTTTGATTAACTATCTACTGACATTCAATTAGAATAGATACAAGGTGATCAGAATTCTGAAACTTGAACCACCCTAAATGAATGTGGGTAGACCGATAATGAATAGTTTAAACTTAGACTTAAGCACCATATATTTCTGTAATCATTCCCGCTGAACCCCAAGTAGGATGTATCGATGAAATAAGGGAGAATCTGAGAGTGCAATAAAAGACAGGATATTCCATTTGAAATAACAAAGTACTTGCTACTTTTCGATAGAAGCGGCAACACTGCATTGTCAAACATATTTTAGATCGATAGACCAAGAGCAACTACTAGGTTAACTAAATTTTCAGAATGATCCAAAATGTCCCGCTCTACGTAAACGTCTAAGGTACCATATACCATCGACCCACTCATAGGTCAGGTTAGGTAGGTAGACCTCGCTCTAGGCTTTCAAGAATAGAGATGGAATAGTTCTTATCCTTACCTCTAACGGCTATTATCATGCATAGTAGGATTACTAGGTAGCAATCAATAATAATTATAGGTACCTCAAAGATCATTTTTTCGTATGAGAATATCCTCGATACTTAATGAAAATCCAGTATATGGAAGTAATTATTCCTCTGCAATTATATAATCATATAATTCAGTCATTTTTGAGTTCAGAAGATAATAGTATTTCTCAACACAGGTAGATAGATATATGCTCATAAGTCAATATCCGAAGAAGGTCGAAAGGAAGGTTCTCATTCAGGTAGGTACACCATTCATCTTGTAGCTAATTGAATTATCAGTATTCCTAGCTAGATACCTGTTATTTTTTCATTTGAGGTGACATATACCTTTGCTTCTGATTGACACTATTGAATAGCATGGTTTGGCATGGTGTTAGTCGAGGTGTTTTCACACATCAACCCCTGTCCTAGTTATAACTTAGCAGGTACATATTTTATTATTCAGGTCATTGGTATATCTGGCACGTTGACTATAGAAATCTCGCTGGAGGTACATACACCATATTACATACAACATATGTTCAATTTGTCTGGTACCAGCTCGAGTATCAATTTTTCTTCACAGTGGTGTAATACCCACTTAGCCAATAATAATAATAATAATAACGTCTTCGCCTTCTGTGCTTCAGGTTTAGGTAGGTATATAATATGAGATATCATTGAAGCTATACTGTCTTGATTGGGTACAGTAATTCGAGCAATAATTGGATAATTATTCCTAACCCAATGGTTTTCAATTTGTCTGGTATCAGCTGGAGTATCAATTTTTGTTCACAGTGGAGAAATACCCTCTTAGGCAATAATAATAATGAATTTGTCTTCGCCTTCTGTGCTTCAGGTTTAGTTAGGTACATATAATATGAGATATCATTGAAGCTATACTGTCTTGATTGGGTACAGTAATTCGAGCAGTAATTGGATAATTATTCCTTACCCAATGGTTATGCGAGAACTAGGCAAGGATCGATGTATGTTTATTATCTTGACATCGAATATAATATTAATTTTCATTTACCACAATGTGTCTATGTATCACATGCATTCGTTTGAGAGTTCATCAATCTTTACAATTATTGCTTTTGGCAGGCTTCTTCTTATATGATACAGTTTCTATTATGCCACCTGACGTCATATATGGTGGGTTCACCGTTTTCATCACCTGATCGAAGAAAGAGCAAAGGGTTGAAGTTTGGTTGAAGTCTCGGTGTACGCATAGTTCCTCACGCATTTCTTTTGTTTTTCCGAAGTGGTTTCTGTAACTCAATCGAGATTTCTCGTGAAATCATTCATCTATGGATATTTTGTTTCATAGGTTATTCCAAGGGGTTATTCTTGAATCCCACTTGTTGTTTGTAAAACAAACTCCAGCAATAAGAACAGCTCTTACACAGGTGGATGTATTGTAGCTACCTTGCTATCCTAGGCATTTGATAAATCTGCAGAATTTCAGAGAAACAGCTAGGTGACATGAAGGGATACATCTGTTTGATGGCCTTTATGCGTCGAGAGACAACACAACCTGGAGCTTAAATCTACTACTTTTTCCCTTGTATAATAAATAACTATTATATGATACTGATTAAGGAATAAAGTTAGTCAGGAAACTATAAACAAACGCATTCTGTTAGCATTTTAAGAGTTTTGTGGGCGTTTCTTCTTTCGATTCTATATGATTTGAATCGCCCATCATTCTACAATCTCCTTGAACCTCTATAATATAGTGGTGATAATTCATCCAAATCCGATGTTAGGGCTTCATGTTACGTAAGGCCTCACGTTGGGCGCCATGCGGTGAAATTATTGGAACATCAGGCTGTCTTGGTATCCTTGATACCCGCACGACGAATTTGTAATTCAATACCAAATCGTTCAGATTGACATTGGGGGTCCCTAGTAGTAGTAGGTACAATATAATTTCACTCTGATCGCCTCTGAATGCATTTGTGATACCGTTATTTCATTTCATTTTCAAAATATTGTAGAATATTTTCTTCACAGACATCCGAGCGGAGATATCCTTTGAGTACCATCTGTGATGTGGCCTGGAATGGATAGCTTGATTCTGTTCTGATGACGTATTGAACCAGTAAGGAGTCATTCTACTTACAGAATAGGGAATTCGCAGGAGTTTAATAAAAAGGCCGAGACAGAGACGTTGAGTCTTATTTTGGTATACATTAGCGATTTCGAATAATTCGATAAGTCAATTGAAAACATGTTTATTTGCTCAGGAGATAACTTGCTACTTGCTATTGACACTATGAATTATAGCAATGAGGTTACTTCTTATAGTTCAGTAATCCATGCAGATAGTGAACGAAGAATAGGTCGGAATAGGTCAAGGAATAGATATGTCGGTTTACCTATGTACTTTAAAATAATACCACACTCGATACCCCTCGTATGCACCGATCATGAACAGGAGAAACAACTTGCTTGAAGTGAACATGCTTTCTTATTAATAATCAGCAGAGCCAATGTATAGTGAGATGGGATGATGGGATGAATATTTTGCTTTGTTTTGATTGAAGATTTCCGTTGTTCCACAATTACAGACTATAATATATCAAATAAGCCAAAAATTTTGAGGTTCTCACTTGAATTAAATTCTCACGACGATAAGATATTTTCATAATACTGTGACCGGACTGGAATTAAGTATGCTCATTAATGCGTATATAATGCAAAAACTGTTTATACAATCAGATCCCATGAAAGAGAACATATTTTATGACACTGGCCTGAATAAAAAACTTGTGGGTATATCGACATTAAATATTATGAAAGACGTTACCATAATATTAATAAATCAATACGCGGTTGTGATGTAATAGGTATGTAGCGTTGTTTCAATGTTTTCAGAGCGAGGTTTCAATTATATCAAATTTTAGAACATATTCTAATATAATAAACATCTTCCAAATTATATTTGAACGGATCAAAAGCTGCGGTATCCGTAATTCGTATCTCGATTATCTGCCTGCAAGAGAGGGGTGTTTCTCATATTTCCATAATAAGGTTGCAATTGCCGATTTTATGACCTTTGACTCATACACAATGATATCGTTCGCAGCAAACTCTTGTTTTTATCGCTCAACAAAGTACGGACCTCATCAATTAAATTAAGAACAGCGGAACAGTTTATCAAGTGATTCATTACGGTCATCCCGCCTACTCAGATCGGGATGAATTAATATGGTCATAATGCATTTTCCGGCAGATCTAGTTTCTAGGCCAATAGAGCAGTACTTTTGCAGACTGACTTGTTTTGACTGCTATACGGTTATTGGCGGCTAGACTTATGATGGTCCCGGGATCAATACTTACTGGCATTCGTTCATTATCTCCTCCTGACTCCTCACTTGAACAGGTGCCAATGTCTCCACCGATTCCTCGTAATTCCCGAAACACTTCGTTATCTTGTCATCGAAAGTGTTGACGAGATCTTCGAGAGATCCAGAAAAGGTCTCCGTGAAATTGTCAGCCACGGAGGGGGTATCACCCTTCCTCATGATTATCTTCGGGGGTACGTTCGGCATCGAATTATTCAGGATGTCTTCGTTGAAATCATTCAACACGTCGTTTATGTCCTGTTTCTTCTTGTTGCAGTTGATGTTATTGATTGCGTTCTCGTTCTTCAGGTTGGCCGACTGGAATTCCGTGGAGCCCCACTCGTCGGATTCCTCGAATTGGGCCAGGGGGGCCTCGAATTTCAATTCAGCCATTTTGGTGGCTAAATCACGCATGGCGAAAACCACCACACTGCACTTCACACGAACGCAATGACGCGCTCTCACCCGTCTGACTTGCACACAAACAGTGGAACATCGGATCGAAATGTTGTATAGCGTTGTCTAGGCCAGCCGGGCCAATAATGATTGGATGCGGGGTTGCCAGCTGCTGCAATTGAAATGTCGCGAAAATTCATGAGAAAAGTGGGGATTCTTTTTTGGGATCTTCTCTCCTTGTCTCTATAAAATGAAAATATGAAAACTATTTCAATATACAGGTGAAACCAAGAGACCTCTTTCAGTAAGGACGAAGGAACATTTTTTTTATGTTCTGGTTCCCACGAAAAGGGATATCCTGTAATGTTCAGAGAACATCGTGAGAACCAAGGAAAAAAGGTAGGAATTCTAGCATTCTAGCCATTTTTAAACTTATCTAGCTACTGAAAATTACACTCAGCCATTTAGACATTTCTTCTAGATATTTTATGTTCTGAATTTCTATTGAAATTTTTGAATTTTTTATAATATTCCCAGATAGTTCATTATATTCACGATCTAATCTAAGTCGTATTCACACCAGTCTGTATTTTTATGGATTTGTGCCATTTTGACCAATTAGGCGCGTTTCTCATTCCAACATCTTGTAAGGCCCATGAATCGAAGAAACATTGACGTTGACGTCAATGTTTTCTTTAATGTTCCGGTTCCCACGAAAACGGATATCCTGTAATGTTCAGAGAACATCGTGAGAACCAAGGGAAATATGGTGGGAATTGGTGTTCTTCTCGAATTTCTGTATGTTATATGCCTCGGAGAACACCTGCCTTGGCAATGTGTTCCAGAGCCTCGCTGTTCGTTGGATGAACGAGTCTTTGGAAAGAGATGTTCTGCAGGTCTCCAAAGTGACCACGAAGGGGTGCGAAGCCTCAACTCGACGGGTTAGTCTCGCGGGGACTGCCAAGGGAGGAACAATTGTTGATATTTCAGAAGAGCAACGTCCATGAGAAAATATATTAAATGAAGCCAGATCGCCAACATTTCTACGGTGTTCCAGAGAAGTGAGTGAGTTTGTGAGCGAGGCATCACTCACGAGACGAATTGCCCTTTTTTGGACAGAATCCAACAGTGTCAGGTATGTTTGGGTGCTGTAACAGTAATACAATAATACAAAGCATCGAAATTGATGTCTTCAAAGGTATGATGGTTACTCCTGGCAAGCTCATGTTGGGCACAGTTAGATCGGCTTTTCTAGAGAAAAGTAATGCTTAGGTTTTGTTTGCATTGAAATCTATACCAAGTTATTGGATACCCATTCGAGAATTGTTATCAAGTCCATATTCATGTTGTCAACATTTCTCCCTCGTTCGTTCCATATTTTTCTGGCGAAACTAGCTGAACATATCCCTACTGAACTGAAGATGGACAACATATGACAGAGTGGAATAATATTAAAATCATTGGAAATATGATAACAACCAAATGAAAAAAATCAAGAAATCTGCTTGCATTCTTCTGAACGGAGACAATAGCATTGCTTTCTGTTCACTTTACATAGATAGAGCATGGTATTCACTACTGAAATCTGTGAATGAAAACGGTGAATTCATTTGATTACCAACGTCACCAATGTCACTGAGAACTGAGAAGTGTCAAGACAAATACGAATTTTTGTATATCCTACTTTGCCAACCTGAAGGATTAGTTACCTGTGGACAGGTACGATAGACCTCCATTTTCGGAGATGAGGCACAATATCTACATTAAAATATGGTAGACCGGATTAACTTGAAAGAGTTGATAGCAAATACATATCAATACTTACTAAGAAAACAAATTCAACACTGGGGAACTATTGAGGTCTAATTGATCATTAAGTAAAATGTCACAATTTTTGAGTTTGTTGATTTCCAATGATTCAAAATGATTGAGTTTCAGTCCTTTATTTTCTACGTGTAGAATTTCGAAATTTTCATCAAAACTATGGTTTTCTTCCAATATATGGTTGGCGTATGTTGAATTTGTTTATTTTTTCATAAAATTCATCTTATGTTGATGAATGCGATGATTAAACGTACGACCTGTCTATATCTCAGAAATTTCATAGGCATTTTTTTCCGAAAATGTGCCTAGCCTATTCGATTAATGCATGGCTGGAATAAATTCATACGAAATCTGAACGCAAAATGTCATATACGGCGTTAGTTATTCAGTGGCAAATTTTGATATTTTTGATTTTTCGATTCACCCTAGTGAACCAGTGAAGTAGTCATTCAATGTTGAGCATATCGAATAGGTACTTAGATATAGGAAGTTTCATCGTTGTATCTTCTACAGGAAGACAAATTGAAGTTAAAAAATGTTTTATTATGATCCATATGTTTTTTCCTGGAAATATAAATAATGGTAACTAATTCGAGGGATCATTCCCTATACATTACAATTTCCATTGTCATCTCAAATCAAATTCTTTTCCATTTTGCTGAAATCGGTATATTATTATGATTACATTGAGTATCAGTAAATCTCCTTGATTAGATTAGATTAGATTAGATTAGATTAGATTTATTTCCCAATAAGATGATACGATTTTCTTCTTAATACTAATGATAATGATAGTTATAAATTCACATAAAATATGTATATCTTGCCATAGGCGTAGGGAAACAGCTGACTGGTGTATTACAAAGATTTGATATTAAAATTGAAGTTGTGTTGGTGACAAACAAAAGTTAGTTAGGTGCAGAGTCGGTGAAAGCTTGATATGAGTTTTATTTTCTGAATATAATTTTTTTTATTGTCATTTTGTTTTTATAGGAAAGCAGTTGCAAATAATTCATTGAGATCATAATAGTATATTATGTAACAAGTGTTAAAAATGTCCTTTTAGTAACGAGTATTTTAAGCACGAGCGGAGCAGAGCGGAGCGAGTGTTTAAACAAGTGTGTAGAAGAGTTTATAAACGCGTTACATACTATGATTTTTCTACGAACTCCGAAAATTACATTAACATACCTGCAATTCCTGCTAACCTACAGAATAATTCGAAAAGAATGGGAATTGAGAACATAATACATGCAACTGCATGCAACCATCGAGACACGTATAAGTGATATTGGTTGTTGTGGATGTGTCCAGTCCATTGCTTACTAACCTTTGTTTCACGTTTATTGTCATGCTTATATAGCGCAGAATAAATAAATTGTCCTCAAAGATGGATGCTTCATTTTTACACTTCTTGGAGATATGTAAGTACCAGAACATTCTTTTCGATTTCACTTTCGTCTACATTTCGCATATATTTTTAATGAATAATTCTGATGCAAACGAATATTGTTTGAATTTTTCTGATACAAAATTCGAAAATAACAGTTGACAGTTAATACAATTGACAGGCCAGACATGTCTTGAATTACTGAAGCTGTGTTTAATGAACTGCGTTGCCATGGTAATGTGTCTAAGAAATCGTGTTGCCATGGTAACGTGTTTAATATTTCGAATAAATCACAGATCGTCAATTCTTGATTAATCCATCATTTAGCGTGGTACATATCCGTACGCTGAATGCCATTTTAGTTATGAGAGTAGAAAAAATACATATTGACGTAAGAGTAGTTTGAGGTTAGTTTGACGGGCTAATATTTTTATATGTTGTGCATTAATCAACACACTTTTATTTCCATTTAGGAAAAAGCCAAATACTCAAAGTGGAATGCAATGGTTAAAAATACAGAGAAAATTATTGTCGAGATTCGACTGATCCAACTTGAGATCTTGAACATGCCAAATCCCCTTTTGGTTTCCTTGCTCATTCTCCAACTCATAAGTCCAAGCACCAATTTTCCTACGAATTTCAAAAGGTCCGACAAACTTAGGAGCAAGCTTCGCCGTGAAATAATTGATAGCATCAGACTGAACTCTGTTCCTTCGCCAAACTTTATCACCCTATGCAAAAGTAACCATACGCCTATGGGAATCAAAAACTTTCTTACTACGCTCTTGGGATTTCAGAAGACGAGAAGAAACATCATCATACATTTTACGGAAACCTTTTTGACGCTGTTCAATATCATCAGTAGGATCCAAATCGTACCTGATCCAGATAATCTTGACCATGAAGTTTATATTTCCTACCAAAATTTATGAAATACGGACTGTAACCCACGGTTTCATGACGAGCAGTGCGAATACCACAATAGTTCATAAACGGTAGATAGCGGGAGAAAAACAACTACTTTCCTGGCTATATGCCACGCAGAACATTGGATTACATTCTCCCGAAATCTATGCAATAATTCGTGAAGACGTATAATATCGCGAGTGTTTTCTTCCTAAACGCCGAGCTGCGCCTAGGTGGTTCAGGAACGCGTGACTACCTGCAGACCAGATAGCTTCTTGAATGAAAGCTATTGGTCTGCAGGTAGTCACGCGTTCCTGAACCACCCTAGGCGCAGCTCGGCGTTTAGGAAGGAAACACTAGCGATTTTAATCGTCTTCACGAATTATTGCATAGATTTCGAGGAGGATGTAATTTTATTTATTTATTTATTTATTTATTTATTTATTTATTTATTTATTTATTTATTTATTTATTTATTTATTTATTTATTTATTTATTTATTTATTTATTTATTTATTGATTCATTTATTTATTTATTTATTTATTTATTTATTTATTTATTTATTTATTTATTTATTTATTTATTTATTTATTTATTTATTTATTTATTTATTTATTTATTTATTTATTTATTTATTTATTTATTTATTTATTTATTTATTTATTTATTTATTTATTTATTTATTTATTTATTTATTTATTTATTTATTTATTTATTTATTTATTTATTTATTTATTTATTTATTTATTTATTTATTTATTTATTTATTTATTTATTTATTTATTTATTTATTTATTTATTTATTTATTTATTTATTTATTTATTTATTTATTTATTTATTTATTTATTTATTTATTTATTTATTTATTTATTTATTTATTTATTTATTTATTTATTTATTTACTTAGTTCACAGAATAAATCCAATTAAGAACTAACAATACAGTAATATGAGTTAACAAGAATAATGATT